GAGGAAGGTGGCACAAAACCAAAGGGAAGCACGAAGCAAAGGAGCTCTCTTTCTCTCAAAAAACTCGGCTGCCCAAAGAATCTATTTTCACTAAAAAATCAACAGTAATGGGGCACAACCTATATAGAGTATAGATGGGTTTTAATTAGACTGCTTCCAATGGCCCAAATAAGTCGTGGGTTTGGTCATAATGATTGTGGTGTCGATATTTCACTTCACTCATCGACCGAGGCCTATGAAGTATAATCCAACAATAAACCGATTTAACTTCATCGCCCGAATTTATTGGGTATCAAAAAACCCAACAATTGATTCTGCTCTAATCTCAACAATAGAAGGTCAGCTAACTGTAGTATTGATTCATGCAAAGATGTAGCTTAGCCTATACGATCTAAAGCTTCCATCATTTTTATTCCTAGCAATATACTTCTAACCAATTACTCCATCTAACTAGGATGAGATTCCGGTTTGATAGTGTATATGAATCTCAATCTGACTTGAGCTTGACCAGATCTTCAGCTTAATAAACTAAAATTAAAAACTTATTTATGACCTCTCAGTAAGATCTTCAAGAAAAAAACTAAAAAATAGATTTAAAGACACAAGTTTATTGTATACAAGAAATAATTTAGTTAACTATTTATACTTGTGCAAGTTAATTTCAGTGGACTCCAGCTATGTTAAATCAATAAATATAACTGAATTTGCTCTACCTAGCATGGATCCAGATAAAACCATCTTACGGTACTCAGTAGATAATTTAATCCTAGTAACAGCGGAATCCTGTGATTCAACTCACCTTCAACCTGATAGGACATAAAATCTCAAATTGATGCAGCCTCACCCTATTTCCATACCCTTTGACAAAGAACGAAACAAAATTCAACACAGTCCACCAATCTAAAGCTAGAATTAACCATTGCAATTATAACCAACTGTAAGCAATACTGCTTCACTTTAATTAGTCCAGTTTACAAGCGAGACTAGCTTCCCCGGTATATAAATTATTCAAAGTAAGGATTGCAGCATTTACTAACATCAAAATTAATAAACAGAATAGTTCTGGACTGAGTTAAGGCCTTATTTGAAGCAAAAAGTCATACCAAGGATACGATTAAAGAACTGCAAATCTACCCAGAATATGTTAATAGAAGCAGCAAATATATATGATAAACACTGGCACATCAACCAGGAAAAGCATCACTGCATCATCTGATAACCCTATGTCTTTTATCAATTGACCAGCATAAATAAGATGTTCCCCCACCTTGAAGACGAGCCAGAGACCCATGAACATTGAGAAGCAACTGTCGCAGACACCTTTTCAACATTGGATCTTCCTAGAAGCATAGAGTATATTAGCATCAGGAAGAACAATAAAAAGTCAAACAATAGAAAGATATAACCCTCACCCTTTCAACAAGAACACAGTGACCTTTTTTTTTAAAAAAGGTAATCAAATATTTTATTAATCAATACTTAATACACATGAAGTGTATCATCAATACAAATCATATTAGTCTGACCACAAACAATTAGTCTTTTAAGTACATTTTTTTTTTTGAAAGGTAATCGAATATTATATTAATCAAAGTTGATACACATGATGTGTATCATCAATACAAATCAGAAAGGAATAACATGAAATTGGGCAGCACATCTATATGCCTAGTAACCACAGCATTAAACCAAGTATACAATATCAAATAAAACAACTCCCTAAACTTTTCTGTTGTCCGTGTTTGGTCTTCAAAACAGCATCCGTTTATTTCTCTCCACATATACCATACGATGCATCTCGGAATAAGTTCTCAGACAAGTTTGCTATCCTTATCTCGAAATTTTCTCCTCCATGTCTTTAACATATCCTTCATACGCTTCGGCAACACCCAATCCATATGCTGCGACACCAAAATATCGTTCCATAGTAAACAAGCAGCATCACAATGAAGAAATAAGTTATCAATCGTCTCTCAATCTCTCTTACACATATAACACCACTCTGTAACAAAAAAACCCCTTACGGGAAGGTTATCCACTATTAACACCTGTCTTCTGACCACCGTCCATAATAAAAATGTCATTCGTGGGGACAGTTTACATTTCCATACCATCTTCTAGGGGAATGAACTCTCTTCAACTCCCTACCCCTTACGGGAAGGTTATCCACTATTACCACCTGTCTTCTGACCACCGTCCATAATAAAAATGTCATTCGTGGGGACAGTTTACATTTCCATACCATCTGCTAGGGGAATGAACTCTCTTCAACTCCCTAAAGAGATCTAAAATAGGTGCGAATTGAAAAAATACCATGTGTCAATCTCACTTGCTACAATCATTCTCTCCTGCCCTGATATGTGCCTCGTATAAAGATGTTAGAAACAACACATGACCATCAAATTCTCAGTCCTGCAACGAGGAACTTGATTGTAATTTGGCTTAATGGAACACTAAGTAGCACCATGTGGAACTCATTTCATTATATAAAAGAAAACCTTAAACCATCGATATGGGGGAGGGGAAGAAGAAAGGGGAAAGAAAAATGAAAGAACAAAAAGAAGGAAAAACCTAGTGCCGCCGTCTTCCTTCACCCTCTCGGCGGTGGCGCTAGGTTTATAGAGAGCAAAAAGGGGAAAGAACAAAAGGAAAAGAAAAAAGAAAGAAGCAAGAAGGGCGAGATGTCCGGTTGAAACTTGAAGGATCCGACACATATCTCATATTCATGTCGTGTCGTGTTGATACGGGTACTTCATCCATTTTGAAGAGTCCGAACTTCACAATATATAATAATGTTCATTAAAGTTGCTTGTGCATTGAGAACCACTTACATTAAGGAGAGCATTAAATGTGCCATCCATCAGAATTTCCGGAAGAGAATCTCTTAGCGCAATGCGATCCATGCAAGAAAATGTTTATTAGTTTATGTGCATGACCGAGAGTGCAAAAAGGGATGCAGTGACAGAAGTAACTGCATCCAATCCATATATGACCGACCTTGGGTCCTCAGACATCCGAATATAGCACTTAATAATGTGCTTCAATAGCAGAGGTGAAGGTTTCTCAGCCAGTCCCACAACCAAATTCTTGAGTACTCGAACTACAGCATAGAATCGATCTGCTGCAACACATACATAGCCCAAGCCTTCTCCATTCTGCAATATCTTTAGCAGAATGTATGCTGCAACCTGCCAGTCCAAACGATTCTATCAGAATCTGGTCCATCAAAACATATAAAAAAGTACAAAGCTTACATTCAACCTACACAAGAGACGCCTAAAAATTCTAGTTAGGACAAGACGTTCTATGCACAGCCATGGACTTGTAATCCATCTACAAGTCTGCACAGCATGTGCAAAGTGTGCGTGAAAATGTGGAGATGTGCTTATGTGTGGGTTATTACATGTGCTCTAAGCTCCCAAAGGTGACTCCACAAGAGAAATCTATCGACACTGCAACAGATTTAAAATGAAAAAACTTGGACAAAAAAGTGGGATGGTTTTTGAACACCAATATTCCAACAACATGGCAGACCACGAATTGTAAGATTAAGATAACAACAGTTCACCATGGATCATCATTCGGTGCAATAGTGATACTCAAGATTTTAGTGCCTTTTCAAAAGTCTTGTGCTTCAACTTATTGAAGCATATGCCTCAAGGCATAAGACTCAGACAGAATATCAGAATTAGAACTGACTTATGCACTCTGGTTTAAGACTCCTAGTTGAACATGTACATTTGCAATCACATCTCAACAACTAAGGAAATGCTGTCACAATAATTTTCTCAGTATATAAAGGTCCTAAGATGAACAACAAAAAGAAAGAATCCTTCAATACATTATAGGAGATGTCGATGACTCGAATACCTTAAAACTAACTGGACCCACTTGGACAGTAACAAAAACTTTGATCAGCGATAATCACAGGCATTTTCATTAGGAATTAATTAAAAGGACAGACATAAATCCAAAATAAGTTTCATGACAATTCACCCTTTTTGACAATTCATCGCCGTTCTCCATAGTGCATAGATTCAGGCATAATTTCTGTATCAAGAAGGAAACAGCTAACTGCAGTGTCATCCCCCTGAAGAAAAGTGACAAATTATGTTATTTTAAGATGTTAGAGAAAGTAGGCGTGAAATATATAGAAAATCTTAAAGATGTCATGAGCAAAAATAATTATAATACCCAGCCAAAAAATAAAAAATATCAAAAATCAAGTAAAAGCAAAACCAACAATGCTATTAATAGTTTTTTTTTTTTTTTTTTACCTAGCTTTTAATTCAATAGACAGTGATTTAGAAGTTATTTTTTAATAAGCAGTTTTCCTCGGTATCCTTTCCCTGCGATAAACCTTAAAACTACTAGGGCCAATCAGCCTCCATTCAAAAAATGTAAAAACAGACACCACCAGCTCCACTTAGCATCTAGCTGTTTGTTCAAAGAATATTACACCTCATATACTGCAGTAAGATCAGGATAAAGCAGGTGGGGAACACACTAAAAGGAGTATATATAACTGTTTTGTTAATGGATAAATATGCAAGTGTACTACATTTCTGCACATAGAAAGCAACCTGCATTTCAAAGTAATTAGATAACTTAAGGCGGATTTTTAGCTTTCAGTTGGTGCAATATACTTTAATATGGAACAGAAGATGCTAACACAAAATTTCCTTAACAAGAGTGAATTGCGAAAGATGTACCTTCACTAGAGCACCAAGGACACCCAGGCAAGTAAGCCTCAGGTACTCAAATGGCCTTAATTTGCAATTTGTAGTAAGAAAGGAGTACAAATATAATGGAATGTGTGCTGCAACAAAGGGAAATGTCAGAGTTGATGTCACAAACAAGTGCTGCCTAGAAGAAGTAGCAGTGAGAAAAATGAGCTATTTATCTATTTCAGGAAACAGGAAAAAATTTCACTCAAGTAAACACTAAGGTCGAACTATGAAGAACGAACACCATAGGGTTGTATGTATATGTCCGTATCCGACAAGTGTCATGTTGCGTCAGATACCAACACTTAACAAACACTCCAGGTCACGTCCCTGACACGCCACTTGGCTGAGTCCTATTTGTCACATATTTTTAGTTTTAACACTCGAGGGATAATTTAGGGCACAACTCGGGCATTGTCCAACAGGGCATGTAGCGTGTCCTATATCGTTCATGTTTTTTATAGTTCTAACAAAAGAGGAACATGTTCTGGACGCACACGCACAAAGGACAAAGAAGTCCCATTTTATAATTTTTGAAATCATAAAACCATAGAAATTTATAATTATCAGAAGCTTTATCTAAAAATATCAACATAATTTGTGAAAAGTTCTACAAACTTCATGTCAAATTTGGTTTACATTTATTATATGAATTTTTCTTTTCGCCACAATAGTAATCTATAGTTTAACTCAAAGTTGTTTTGGAATAATTACTCTCTTATTTAAAAGATTTCACCAACAAAAATAAAAACAGAGAGTATTGATAATATTAAGAAAAATAGTACTATATAAATTTACATAATTTAAATAAATGTTTCCTTGTCATACTTCTTTGAAAAATCACGTGGTGAAGTGTCCCCTTCTTACAGGTCAAATTTATGAAGTGAAATGCATAATAATAGAGTTATCTTTCTATGCTATCTTTATTGAGCAAGCAGTAATATCATAATGCCATAACAAATAAAAGATAGGGCAACTCCTCCAGTGGCAGTGATTAAAATGACAGGTCACAAATAATTAGTTGCCAAAACTCCTAGTTCTAGAACAAATGAACATGTACAAGATTTGATAAAACTCCATTTAACTTCAAAATCTCATTCTCTTGAAGGATAAAAAAAAAAATGAAAATTCGCACGTGGAAGAGATCAAGTACCTTTGACAAACAACCTTCTTGTGCGCGGATGGGATGCCACACACTACCAGAAAAAGGATTTGAAAATAATAATATCAGATCAGAACAAGGTGACGACGATGTCCATATTTCTTGTTGACAATCGTTTATTTTCTCTAGAAAGGGGGGAATTATATATTTCAGAGTGTGTATATAAATTAGAGCATGTTTGATACAGATTCTCATTTTTTACACTAAATCAATTCTCATTTTCAATGACACATTCTTCGATAAAATAATATTTTTCATCACATCAATACTTTTTTCCAGTGAGCTCATTAATTTTGTGAAAAAAAAAATTAAGATTAATATGCCAATGTTTTCAATTTTTTGTACCGCCCTCATAATTTTAGTTAGAGTAATTCCCCAATTACAGGGAATCTTTAACAGGGACTCACTGTTGCGAGGATCCACCTCTGAATAAAAACTAAAAAAAAATTGTGGTCTCACTGTTGCGAGAATCTTTAACAGGGACTCACTGTTGCGAGGCCCCACCTCTGAATAAAAATTTAAAAAAATTGTGGTACCCCCC